ATACCCTAGATCTTGTATGCATAAATAAATACATCTCAAAAAAAAAACTGATTAAAAAAAAATGTCAGTGGATCCTCTTCCACCTCTATCCCAGGCAGATATATGGTAGTAATAGAGGTTAAAGCATAGAGTGAGCTGGAATATTCCACTAAACCAAATCTAAATGAAGCCAGGATTTGCACAAGACAGTTTGATAAATGGAGTCATGCTGCTTTTTGGTTTTCATTTAAATTTTGTCTCCATCAGTATCCTCCTTTTAGCATAATGGAAACCAAGCAGGAATTGGGAGATACAACAGAAGGGCTTGATTCCTGATGCTGCCATAGGGTAAGTGAAGCTTGGGAGAGCTTCCCAAGTCTTAGTGCCTAGTTTCTTGGTGCTGCCATCACAAAGTACCACCTACTGGGTGGCTTAAACAATAGAAATGTATTGTCTCGCAGCTTTAGAGTTTAAAAGCTCAACATCAAGGCGTCAGAACCTTCTGAGGGCCAAGGAAGATCTTTTCTGACTCTCCTAGTTCTGCTGGTTTGTTGGCATCTTTGGCACACCTTGACTTTCAGATGCATTATCCCAGCCTCAGCCTTTGTTTGCATCTCATTCTCCTGCATGTATCTCAATGTCCAAATCACCTTCTTAAATGAGCACACATATCAGGGCCCTCCATGGTGGCACAACGGGTGAGGACGCAGCACTGCAAGCTAGAGGCAACCGCTTCAGTGTGAGTTCAACTCCTGGCCCAGGAGCTGACCCACATGGCCCAGCAGACCTCTTCTATCTCGCTCGGTGCTCCCCTCAGCAGGGTACTACCTTGATCTGCCTGTTCTGCTCCCCACTCTGTCTCTGGTGAATCCTCTCACTGCCCCTGCACCTCTGGCCTATACCCCAGTTCTGTATGCATAAATAAATAAATCTTTAAAAAATAATAAGCACATATGTTGATTAGATTCCACCCTACAACCTCATCATAAATTGGTTGTCACTGTAAAGATTTTCAAACTGAGGCATGGAGTGTTAGGAGCTTAATGCACGAAACTGGAGGACTCAATTCAACCCATAACACTTAATTCCCTCATCTGTGACTGGAGACCATAATATAATTCGTCCTCATGCAATTATAGTGCCAACGAGAACTGGCCCATAGAAGGCCAGTGGCTATCTGGTTTATCCGAATGTCCATGTGCCTTAGTGCTGTCTGGACCAGGCTGCACCCCTAGGGAGCAGAGCTCAGTTGGGGTACTCAGCCTGTGAGTGTTCAACACACAGAAGCAGGTGCTTCATCAATGCATCTGACCGATGGCGAAGATGAAAGGGTAGTAAGAAAAATCTAATGGCAGATGAGGCAGGGCTATGAAAGTCTGATACCCCAGGTTGGAGAGGAGGTGAAGCCTGAGGAAACCCCATATATTGCTGATGGAAAGCAAAGTATAAATATTTTGGAGGGAGGAAATAGCCTAAATTTCCTAAATGCGTATAGTCATATGGTACAATCTAACTATGGAGCAGGAATAACTATAGAGCAGTTAAATATGAACTAGAACCATGCATATCTCGTGGATAGATCTCACCAATAAAATGCTGGGCAAAAAGAGTAAGATGCAGAAGCATATAGAAAGTATATCAGGCAGGACTCCAGAAATGGACACGCATAGAGAAAATAAACATAAATACAGCATGACAGATTCAGGAGGGGTGTTATCTGGGGAGAAAGAGAGTACACAGGGAGCTTCAACTATATTCGTAACAGTTTATTTTTTAAATTAGGTAAGTCATGGGTATTGGTTATTCTTGATCACTTTCTGTATGCTTGGTTTATACATCTGAAGTCTCAAGAAGCCTTAGAGAAAACTGGGGTCCCTCCTGGGACTCAGAACCCAGAGCACGTTCCTGAAGATTCATATCAGTCACACTAACAGGCAGAGACGCAGAAAGATGAAGCCCTTCCTGTCACAGGGAAGCCGGCAGGCCTTGGCTACAGAGAACCCGAGGCGGTGGAGTCAGGGAGGGATCAGAGCACAGCCCCCACACACCCCACACACAGTCGGCCGCCCCCACATGCTGACACAGCTTCTGTCCAAATAACCTGGCACACGGCGACCTGACAGTTCACAGCGCTGTTACCTGCACCTACTAGCTGTGAGTGCACACACACACACACACACACACGCACACACGCACACACACGCCCTGACCAGGAGTCCAGAGTTGGAGCCGCAGAGCCCGCCAGCTGCAGGCCAGCCCTCCCTCTCTTCCAGCGCTGGGTTTTTCCAGCGGAGCCTCACTCCCTCTACTGCAATCTCTGGAAATTGGTGCCTGACGCTGCTGCTCCTGCACGTTATTTATTTCCTCTTTTCCTCCCGCTGAGACCCTCCAGCCTAGAGAGCGAGCGGCTGCAGGAAGCGGCAGGGACACACGGCAGCAGAGACACACGGCAGCAGAGAGGGCAGGCGGCAGGCAGCCCACTCAGAAGCCCCCTCCCCGAACATCCAGATCATCAAGTCCCCCCAGGAGCCATGAGCACCGGGCAGGAGGCCAGGAGAGAGGCGGGAGTCTCCAGGAGGAGGGGACAGGAGGCAGAGCTGCGGGACCGAGCTCACCTGAGCCAGCAGCGTCGGCTCAAGCAGGCCACCCAGTTCCTGCACAAGGACTCAGCTGACCTGCTCCCCCTGGACAGCCTCAAGAGGCTCGGCACCTCCAAGGACTTGGTGAGGCAGGCCTCTCCCTCCCCACCCCCCAAGCCTCCCCAATCCTTTCTCTGCACCCCATCTCCTGAGGAAGGGGCAGTAAAGTGCAGACCCTAACCCTGCAGAACCCCCCCAGCTGCTAGGGG